CTCCTGAGTAGCTGGGATTACAGGTGTGCGCCACCATGCCCAGCTAAGTTTTCTATTTTTAGTAGAGACAGGGTTTCAACATGTTGGTCAGGCTGGTCTTGAACTTCTAACCTCGTGAGTTGCCCACTTGGGCCTCCCAAAGTGCTGGGATTACAGGCGATTTCAAGCGATTCTTCTGCCTCAGCCTCCCGAGTAGCTGGGACTACAGGCGCGTGCAATCACGCCTGGCTAATTTTTGTGTTTTTAGTAGAGATGGGGTTTCACTATATTGGCCAGGCTGGTCTTGAACTCCTGACCCTGTGATCTGCCCGCGTCAGCCTCCCAAAGTGCTGGGATTGCAGGCATGAGCCACTGTGCCCTGCCGACTTTATACATATTTTAATCTTCAGACTGGTCTATAAGCTTCTTGAGAGTTAAGGCTGTGGATTTCATTTATTTGTATTTCCTCTACAAGGCCTCATAGATGTTTTGAAAAATTTGTTGTGGCTGGGGGCAGTGGCTCATGCCTGCAATCCCAGTAGTTTGGGAGGCCAACGTGGCTGGATCATGAGGTCAGAAGTTCGAGACCAGCCTGGCCAACATGGTGAAACCTCGTCTCTACTAAAGATACAAAAAGTTAGCTGGGTGTGGTGGTGTGCACCTGTAATCCTAGCTACTCAGGAGGCTGAGGCAGGAGAATTGCTTGAACCCAGGAGGAGGAGGTTGTAGTGAGCCGAGATCACACCATTGCACTCCAGACTGGGTGACAGGGCGAGACTGTCTCAAAAAAATAAAATGTGTTGCATAAATGGGTGTTTTTTACAGTAGTTATGTGTATATGTTTTAATCTTCAGACTGGTCTATACGCTTCTTGAGTTAGCTCTGTGTATTTTATTTATTTGTATCTCCTCTACAAGGCTTTATAGATGTGATCAACTGTGTATTGAATAAATTTATAAAATCTCATAGGCTCACGATTCTGCTTCCTACCAAATCCCAATTTGCACAGGCTCTCATATTTAAATGTCTGGAGAGCAAGACCAGAATTGACCAGCAGAGGGCAACCAACGACTATGCTGTGAAGAGAAGAAGGCTCCATGGCTTACAAAATGGAGGATCTGGACCAAGAAAGGAAGTGTGGCACAGGTAGTTTGCTACTTGAAGATCATCCCTTTTACTCTCAAATGCTTCTCTTGTAACTTTTGTGGGTGAGAGTCCAAGGCTTTGAACCTTCATATACAATAGATCATTTGAAATTTCTACCATCCCCATATACCCACCCCAACTCCCCAATTCCTTCACTCTTCCTCTTCTACTCTAACAAATCCTGTCTGTTCTTTTACCTTTCTTTACCTTGCATGATCTGGCCCCCTCTCTCTCTCACTGTTCTTTACATATTCACATAACACCCACTTGCATTCTTTAATTCCTGCTACAGTACGTGGCCTTGCATATTTTCCCTGAAGTAACCTTCTCCAGTTAGGCCTTGTAGTCCCACTCATTTAAATCTGGTAAGGAACCTTCCATAAATATCCTTCTATAACACCTTCAAATTTTTCTACTCCACTGGATCAATCCTTCATGGATTCAGAACAAACAAAACCCTACCTTCATTTGACACTTTCAAATC